AAATTGCAATAGCACATCTTAAAATCCTCTCCACTCCTTTCTCTACCAATATCTCCCATATCCTGTAGCTTCTCCGTATCCCTCAACCTCCAACCCCCAAATCAGTCTCCATTTCCATCCCAATCTCCACTCAAATCTCCTCTAAACCCAATAAATAGCAAAAGATGTTTGTTGAGCACATGCAACCTTTTAAGCAACTTGATGAGTGATAAAGATATATTGGTGAATGAAACAGAAAAGCAGTCCTATTCTCGCTGCTATTCATTCTAGTGGGGGGAATGAGGCAGTAACAAAGACACGTAAGTAAAATGTACACAGTTATATAGTTATACATGATAGACAGTGATAAATAATAAGAACCAAAAACAGTGTCAGTGAGTTTACAATGTCTGTTGGAGGGAGTGGTGGCCAGTGGAGTTCTTGCTGAGAAGCAGATTTTGAATAGAAACTGTAAAGAAAAAAAATCAAGCCATGGAAATATACAAGAACAAGGCATTCCAGTTTGAGGAAACATCAAGCACAAAAACATCTGTGTGCAGAGTAATTCTGCCACGTCCAAGGATACGAAAGAAGACCTTTGTGACTGAAGGAGAGAGTAGAAGGGAAAGGTCAGTAAGAAAACGGATCAGAGAATGCATGTGACTTTACATGTAATAGATTTTCTCTTTATTCTGCATGAGATGGAGGCCATCTCTGATTAAAGGGGTGACACTATCTTATGTTTTAAGAGGCTCTGAGTTCAGAAAAGAAGCACTAGAGACTTTTACAGTAGTTTAGGAAACAATGGTGTTTTGGTCCAGGGTGATGACAAGGGGGTGATATGAAGTAGCAAGATGCTGAATATATTTTGAAGGTAGCACCAATGGAGTTCTGTTGGTAGACAATTTGGGAGTTGACAGAGAGAATGGAGTCATTATTTATGATAGCATGGACTGAGGATGAGTTGGTTTAGGGACAAATACCAAGAACTCCGTTTGGGATATATTAAGTCTGAGACTCTTATTACATACTCGAATGGGCAGGTCAGATGGGCAGGTGGGTACGTGGGTTTGGGTCTGGATTTTGAAAAGATGTCTGAGCAGGAGATATCAATTGGGAGGATCGAGGTGGTATTTCATGCCATGGAACTGTGCGAAATCCCTGAGTGAATACAGATAGCATAGGGAGGAAGTACAAAGACTGAGCTTTGAACATTGCAACATTTAGACATGGGGTGGAAAAAAGGAATATAGAAGAGAAAGGAAAGGAGACCCAGAGAGATCGGGAGAAAACAGGGGAAAGTACTGGTCTGAAGCTCAAGGTAAGAAAGCATTTTCTTATACAAGGGCATTATAAATGCTTCTTTTAGGTCAAATCTGATGAAAACTGAAAAATGACCACTGGGTTTAGTGATTTGGTGATCATGAGTGACCTAGAGAAGAGCCATTGCAGTGGAGTGAAGGAGACAAATCATGATTGAAGAATGTTCAACAGAAAGGGAAAACTTGGAGAAAGTGTTACAGGAGGTCCTTTTTGAGGAGTTTTGCTAAAAGGGAAGAAGAGAAAGGGGAGCAACAGATGAGAAGGAGAGCGAGATCAAAAGGGAGCTTTTATTTTCTCTATCTACCTTTCAACTATCTATCTATTCATCCATTCATATTTAATCCTGGGAGACATGTTTATAGGCTAAGAGACTGATCCATTAAAGGGGGGAAATGATGACTCTGAACAGAGAGGGAGAATGGCTAGAGCAATTGGCAGTGGCTAGAGCATGGTCAAGCAATGACCTTGAGGGGGGCACAAAAGGATGGGATCTAACACACAGGTGCAGAGTACGTGTTGGCTGGGAGCACTGGAATGTCAAGGTCAAGAGTCTGGATCCTGCTTCAGCTCCTTCTATTTTTGCTTTTTCTCCTTCTCTCCAAGGGCTCTGTAATCTACATGCACATTATCCCTTTTAAGCTGGAAAATAAAGAATCATACCCAAAAGAATCCAGTGAGGAAGTATGGTGACGAGGCCATGGGAATCTGCAAAGAGACATGATTGAGCATAGGGCAGCTGGGATGTTGGAATATTTCACATTTAATATCATTTTTTTTACCTCTTCGATATCATTTATATTTGCAAGTGGGAGTGATTAATGATTATATTTTCATAAAATAATTTCATATCTATCTGTTGTATGGGCAACGAGTTGAAAATCGAGAAAAATTTATATAATCACCAATTGTTTAGATAATGCAAGGCCCATCAACAACTTCACACTCTTTTTCTCTGGCTGAATTGACTGACTGTTTTCTCCCACTGGAAGGACACAATATGGATTTGAAGGCTTATACAGGACCCCAGATAGTCTGATACCGTATCAAGGGACCGTATTGTTTGACTTTAAACATTTCCTTTTGTTCAAGGTTTCTGAGAAGGCCATTACTAAATACGGGGAGGGAGAGGATATCTTTGGATTCTTTTGGGAAAGTTAAAGATATATTAGGAAGCTGCTGATTGTACAGAGTTCCTTAAAAATGTATCAGCTCATATGAAGGATAGTGAGCAATCAAAGGCAGATAGTTTTGATAGCCCTTACAAAACTAAACATTCTGGAATGAGATAATTACCAGTCATCTGATGAGGATTTTATCTGAAATAAAGCTTAACACATGAAGCTAATGAATTTGTACTTAAGAGACAGTTATTTAAAAATTATATATCTGTATATATATAACTAGGTACATCTAGAGATAATGTATATTGCATATAAAAATATATGTGTATAAAATATATGTTTAACACATTTTATAGTAAAGATTTCCTCCATAGCTACTTTATTTCTGGGACAGAATCCTTGTACTAGAGGCAATAGAGAAGAATCTTGCTCCCCTGAACTGGGAGAATGCTTCCGGCCTTCTACTTGCATGAGCCTCTTCAAGGCTCTGCTTCTGATTTTGAAACCACAATTTTGTTTTGTTTTCATTGGAGGTTTCCAAATTGATAAGCTCTAGGACTAGAAAAACATGAATGCATCCGGGCCTCTGATCACTTTAAGTATTCAGTCCAGACTGACAATTACATCATTCTAGTGTAGTCTGATGTAATATAAAACCCCAGACTCATTACATAGACTCTCCTCCCCCAGCTCAGTTCCTATTCAGACTTGAACATTTCAGGGTGTTATTTCAGGGGCACGTCCTGCTGACTTCTCTTGTCTTGGCTTCCCTCCTGTGCCGGTTAGGTTCTGCTCTTAACCTCTCTAGGACTGGCCTCAGGGGGAATAATCACAAGTGGCCGGTGTGGTAGTAATCTGGTATGAGTGTCTGCTGGCATAGCAAATTATCCCAAACTGATCCCTTTTCTCTTACTCAATGAGTGTTTTGGTGTATTTCTTGGCAATATTTTCTCTTGAATCTTCTCTGCTGCTCACCTGATGAGGCCAGTATCTTTCCTGGGCTGGCCATATGTGACACCTCTTCTGCCCTAATTTAAATTCCTTGTAGTGTCCATCCTCTGTTTTGCTGTCCCTCTGCCCTTTCTGAAAGAAGTCTCCATGCAATGTCTTTTTAATGGTTTCCCATGGCAAGATCCATGTTTGGATTTTGAGAAACTTCTCCGGGTGTGGAAACGCAGCCTGACCCAATACATTCATTCCCCTCTCCTTTTCTCTAGGCCTTGAATTTCTTAAGTCACTTTCCTCTGGCTTGAGGTTAAAAGGAAACATCACTTCTGCTTCCCCATGAGTGTGTGTGGGTCAGCATAGCCACTGATAACTCACTCTGAAGAAACCTTCTCAGTACCTTCCATCTTTGTAGGCTGAGGCCAGTAAGTAGCTAACGCTGGCAGGACCAGTTTGGGGCTGCTGTGTCCTCTCCTCCAGCCCATTTTAAACATCCTTAAGGAATGAGTTAGTATCTGTCTTCAGATGTAGGTGTACTTAGAGCTTATGGTTTTGTGCTTCACCTGAGAAAGATTAAGTTGAAGCAGGATGAATGGTCTGTAATAACCCATTGTACTCCCACATGGGAAGACACAGGGAAATAAAGATGAAACAAGTCCAAGAGAATATTTTGGTCAATGGAACCAATATACAAATATGGCAGGATAATCCTGGAAAGTGAGAAGGTGGCCATTCAAGTCTGGGGGGACGAATTGGGCAGTGTACTCAGAATAAAACCTTTCCATTTCTGACTCGGCCATTCAGGCACATGTTTATTTAAAGTGATCTATAATTTCCTTTTCTAATCTAAGTTTTGACTTCTGGGGATAGCACTTAAAGACAGAAAGAGCAGCTGTATGGAAATACAGTCTGAGAACCAATGGATATTTGTAACTGGGCTCACGAGAATCTATGTTGGTTTCCCACAATCTTATAATCTACTTATTTCCTGGGTTTTAGACATCCAGTACCATAACATGCTCTCCAGGCCTCTAAAATAGTTGAGAAAAATTTACCATCCAAACACGCAGCAGATTAACTTCTAGCCTACACTGGTCCTCATAAAAAAATAAGATTTTTATGGAGATTTTATGGACACATTCAAACTGCATCTGAAATGGAAGTAGAAACTTCTTAGTTTAAAAGATTGCATTGAGCTACTGGGATAAAATTATTAAAATATTACATACTTTTAAACATAGATGATCCTTGGTTATCTGCATCCTACGATGGCATTTATTTGTGAATTATCTCAGATTTTACAAACTTGTTTATCACGTAGGCCAACAAAGGACTGACACTGGTAAATACTGAGGTGCATTCTTAAACTGGATTCATCTATCTTAAAACCAACATTAATGGTAACAGACTGCTAGGCATTTTCTGCTTCGGCCTGCCTCAAAAGGAGACGGAAGGAGCCAGGCAAGCGTTAAAAGGTCTCGCGAGAGTCGCACTGAACTTTCAGCGGGTGGGAATGGAAACTTGGTGAGCACTCTCGCGAGACCTGAAGTGATCCCAGCAGCAGCGCCCGAGGAAGGAGCTGCGCACCGGAAGTCCTTCATCTTGAGCTCCAGCTCCCACGCTGCAGGGCGCTTGACTTTTCTTCAACGGAGACCTTTTTCCCAGAACTAGACACCCACTTGGGCAAAGTTCCGCTTCTTGAGCTCTCTTACTCTTAAGAAACTTTCTGTCACCTGTGCCGGCCTTTGCCCCTTTCCTTGTTTTACCCTTAGTAGAAAAGAATACTTTTAGTTTCTTATTAGTTTCGCTGAACTGGTTGAGTATTTCGCTCCCCAAAGTGAGGCTTCTGCCTCACGCCCCCACGTAGCTGGGAACGTGGGACCTGGGGATGTTTGGACTCCAGGGACGCTGAAGGAAGGGCAGCGAGAGAGCACGGAGCCCCGCTTCTGCACCTGCTACCAGAAGAGGTCCCCCTCTTCTCCCCTCCCGCCGCCGCCATGCAGCCCACCGCCTTTGTGCTTCCAATGCTTGCAGCCACTGTCCTGTGGGGAGCGGCCCCCACCCGGGGGCTCATTCGAGCCACTTCAGACCGCAATAACAGCATGGACTTTGCAGACCTTCCAGCTCTCTTTGGGGCTGCCTTGAGCCACGAGGGACTTCACGGGTTCCTTGTGGAGGCTCAGCCACGCAATGCGTGCAGCCCCATTGCCCCCCCACCTCCAGCCACGGGCAACGGATCGGTCTTCATTGCACTTCTTCGAAGATTCGACTGCAACTTCGACCTCAAGGTCCTAAACGTTCAGAAGGCTGGGTACGGGGCGGCTGTGGTACACAACGTGAATTCCAATGAGCTTCTGAATATGGTGTGGAGCAGTGAGGAGATCCAGCAGCAGATCTGGATCCCGTCTGTGTTTATTGGGGAAAGGAGCTCCGAGTACCTGCGTGCTCTGTTCGTCTATGAGAAGGGAGCGCAAGTGCTTCTGGTCCCAGACAGCGACTTCCTTCTGGGCTATTGCCTCATCCTTTTCACTGGGGTTGTGGGATTGCTGATTTTGGCCGTGGGAGCAGGGCTGACAGTTCGTTTTATCCAACACCAGAAACGTCTCCAGCGGAATCGACTGACCAAGGAGCAACTGAAGCGGATTCCCACACATGACTATCAGAAGGGAGACCAGTATGATGTCTGTGCCATCTGCCTGGACGCGTATGAGGACGGAGACCAGCTGAGGGTGCTTCCCTGTGCTCATGCTTATCACAGCCGCTGTGTGGACCCCTGGCTCACCCAGACCCGGAAGACCTGCCCCATCTGCAAGCAGCCCGTTCGTAGCGGCCCTGGGGGAGGGGAGCAGGAGGGAGAAACTCCGGGGCAAGAAGGTGATGAGGAAGGGGAGCCAAGGGACCACCCTGCCACAGAACGGACCCCACTTTTGGGCTCCAGCCTTATGCTTCCCACATCCTTTGGCTCCTTAGCCCCAGCCCCCCTTGTTTTTGGGTCTTCAATAGATCCATCACCTTCTCCATCCTCCTCTTCCTCTTCTGCTGCCGTCCTGGTGTGATACGCCCCTCCCCCCCCAGCTCTGGCGACCTGTTTTCACAGTCCCTGTTTTGTCTTCAGTCTAACATCGTGAGGGATAAAGGACATTTCCACCCCGGGTATCTTTCTCCCTTACTCAACCTTATCCTTTTGAGGGGGTTGGGGGTGAAAAGGGACGGGGTCTTCACTTACTAGGTTAATAAAATTGTTTTTGTGGAATAAAAAACAAAGTTATTCAGATAAGTGTGAAAGCCACAGGTGAAAGCTGCCAAAAGCAATTTGAAAGAGCATGTTTTTATAATTTGTGTCAAGGGTGAAAAATAATTAGAAACGTTATTTTAAATCACTCAGAGTGTCTTAAATTTACATTGGGATATTAACATTTTACATTTGGCCTTAATGCAATTTCTCCTATCTGTAAAAAGTTCAGTGCATTTCTTTTAACCTTTTTTGATAGGAATGAATATAAATTGAGTAATCTACTTTTATCTAAATGTTTAATTGTCATCAGTTAATGCCTAAGAGTGTGCAGAACTGATGAAATGTCTATGTGGTCATGACAAAAAAATAACTAGGTTGTAGGTCACCTGTCCTCTGCTCTGCTTATATGTTAAATGCTCTTGTAAACATAACAGATTTAATTGTTTATAGCATGCAGTCATATAGTATTCAGGTATGGCTAATTGGGGTGGAATTTTACAAGAATGAATTTCAGCTTTGTCTTTTCACGTCTTAGAACTAAAAATTCTTTTTCTTTTCTTTTTGTGTGTGGGGAAGAGTGCAAGTGGGGGAGGGGCAGAGAGAGGGGTACAGAGGATCTGAAGCAGGCTCGAGGCTGACAGGCTGACAGCAGTGAGCCTGATGTGGGGCTCGAACTCATGAGCCGTGAGATCATGACCCGAGCTGAAGTTGGGTGCTCAACCAACTGAGTGCCCCATTAGAACTAAAATCTATTTAAATGAAGGAACCGTGCCCCATGAAATACTTTTCACCTGAGAGTAGTGGTTGTTGAGCCATATTTTCTGTGTCTGGAGCTGCCTATGTGTAGGTGCCTAAGACAGAAGTTAGCTAATAGGGGGTTATTAAATTTGCTTTTCCCTTTTAGAAATTAAGGTCATTTTCACCTTTTAATGATTGTTAACAGTAGGTTAGCAATTTCTTATTTGTATGCCCGATTTAAGCTCACCTCAAACTTCCTGATGCTGCATTGATAATACAAATGATTACTCTGTTATTTGGTTTAGAATGTTCTCTTTCACGCAAGCCTTGAAAGAACTCTTATACTGGAAGACTTCTATACTGAAAACAGAATCAGTAGTCATAATAAAATGTAATATTCAAACTCATATATAGTTTTATTTCTATAAATATGCATTTTAAATCACAATTCTAGAGCTGAGATGGTTCTGTTAAATAGATTGTAAATATTACTCTAATGATTATCTGCTCTTTTCATTAATGTTATGCTGCAGGTTTTTATTTCCATATTTTTCACAGTATCCATCCTTTGGCATGAGATTGTATTAAAATGTGTGCATTGATGAGCATTACGCAGTATTGAGGGCTGCAGACCATGGGATCTGCAAGGAACAGACACTGAGGTGGAGTTTTGTGTTTATAAGTTGGCTGAGGAGTTAAGGAAGCAGAATTGGGCAGAGGTAAAAGGCGAAGGGCACTGCTATTGCACCAGAAGTCTCAACAGGTGCCCCTGAGAGCACAAGACCAGGGGTGGCCCTGTAAAGATGCCCCAGATCAAAGCAAGAGGGCAGGTCCACATGCCTCTGAAGTCACCTGTCATTTCCTACAGGCTGGCATAGGGGGAGAAGAGTGACTTTTGGCCGGGTAGCTTTCTTTGGGCAAGGACAGCTTTTAGAGAGAAACTCTTGCTGAGAACCTTTGACTATGAAGGCTTTAGCCCTGAGGAGGTGGCAAGGGGTGGGGGTAGGGGGCTGGGCAGACCTCGACAGCAGTTTCTATAGTGATTTACTAAAAGTGGGTGGGTCCAAAGAATAACAAGTGTGAGAAACTTCACTGGCTTACATCTTGCAAGGTTCCTTTGTTTTAATATGATGCTCTGAGTTTAGTACCAGAAATGAGCAATATATGGAAAGTGCCGAACTGACGTTTGTATGAGTTTCCTCTAATGGGAAGGAATGCTACAAGGGTGGCCTTTGTTAAACCGAGCGCAGGATGAGATGGAAGTCAGAAGCAAAGACTTCGAAATGTTTGCAATAGTGTTTCCCCGGCCCCCAGGCCTGTTGTGGGTGATTGCTGAGTGGTTCATGTACTCATCCCACGTCTACTGAACATCTACTGAGCTTCGATGACTTTCCAGACACAGCAAGGACCTGTGACACAGAGAAGATCTCATCCCCAATTCTCTGATAGTCAGGAGAACACAAACAAGTGAACAGTCACTACATAGCATGATGCTTGGGACAACTAGTAAGAGAGGGGATATATGATCAAGGAAGAATTAATTACCCACCGGTGCGCTGGAGTGGCTCGGCTCACACTCAAGAGAGCTAGCTGTTAATTTTAGAAGCCTTGCCACATGGTTGCTAAACACAGGCATTATCAAACACTAAATTATATAAACTTACTATTAAATAAACTATATTAAAAGCAAAGTTAATAACATACTCAAAACTCATCGCTTCCTAATTATTTTACTCTTCCTTACACTCTAGAGCTTCTTTATGTCCTGGTTGCTCTGCCTCCAAGTAGAGCTCATATTAGGGGTGTGGTGCTGTGCGTGTCTTCTGATCTCTGTGTCAGTGACATTTCATGGGAGCCTGAAGTTGATTGGGACTGAAGTATTTGTACAACAGAAGTTGGCTAAGATTTCTCCCCCATGTCACTTCATCAGGGTTAGATTTATTGTTTTATATATTGGTTATTTAGACTTGGTTATAAGACTATATATTGATTATTTAGACATATTGGTTATTTAGACAGTGTTAATAATGCAGATTAAGCTTAAATTTGTGTCATGTCTTCAGCCATTACATTACAAATAGCACCAAAAAAATTGAGGAAATAGCCGTCAAGTGTTTGAAAACTTCTATCTGGCAAGTAAGCACTCATGTCATTGATGAATGAGTGAAGTTATGAATACATCTTCACTTTCCCCCCTTTTGTCTTACTTATTAAGTTAAATGGAAATATCAACTAATATTTATGTCAGAACTGTATTAGTTTGTCAATGCCATGAACAACTTCTGAATTGGGAAGTAATCAAGCATTTATTCAGAGTCTAATTTTGTGAAATCATGGTTGAATTGCAATCACAGTTTGGCTGCAGATGCAAGAGTTCAGCAATAATCAGCCTAAGTATCCCGGGAGGGTAAGTTGGCTATGTCATATTTACAATAAAGAGCATTGTGTATTTTATTATTTTCATAAACTGTGTACCACACATCCCTTTGCATCGGTAGAGATGATAGTAGAACTGTGTGATATATGCATCTCTGCATTTCATCCCATAAGAGCGGGTTGCTAATCCTTTGCCAGCGTATCACTAGGTAAAGCAGAGCAAGTGTAGAAGTTCACGGTTATTGTATGAGCATGTGGAAGGGCACGTGATTCATTCAGGAAGGACTGCATGAGAGCAGAAAGAAGAGGAAAAGGAAGATTTCGCTGAGCTCACTAGTTGAATTCAGATGCCTTTCCTTTCTGTCATGCTGTGTTCTGCTTTGTCGCAGATCACAATGAAGATAAAGTTCATGGGCTCTCTTTCATTCGGCCGTCAACACTGCTGATCTCATATGCGTGCACTATTGTTTGGTCTGGGCGAAGGTACCGAAGTACAGCACTTCCTATACCCCTGACTGTTTTTGCTACAACCACATTTTTGTGACCACCTTTTAAGCACTGTTGAAATCACCAGTTTTCCCTGGTTAGGTGCTGCCAGGCAGCCTGGCTCTGTGTGGATTCCCTCTTCAGGGCTCACTATTCATTGAGTTATTTTGGGAAACCTAAGCCTACGCCTCATCATTGGAAAGCCCTGTCTATCCATTAACCAAAATGGGAGGGCTACTTCCTCTATGTTCTGGTTTCCATATTGGAATATTTTCCCCAGTGTACTCAGATCATTTTTCCTAGGTCCCAGTTCTCAAATCTCCCTCCTCCATGTTTATTTTGCTCTTTACCTCATATAGATATGCTTTTCTTAATTTTTGTAGAATTCATCACTGAATATGTGACAAACAAGAAATATCTTTAAATTTAAAAACGCATGTTTTTTTTTTCCAATCAAAACCATTTTAGTGTTCTTTAAAACATTAAAAAAGTGATTAGTAGAACTTGTGTTTTCAAGACAAATGCATGGGGCACCTGGGTGGCTCATTCAGTAGAGCATTAGACTTCAGCTCAAACTATGATCTTGCAGTTCATGGGTTTGAGCCCCATGTCAAGCTCTGTGCCAACAGCTCAGAGCCTGGAGCCTGCTTTGGATTCTATGTCTCCCTCTCTCTCTGCCCCTCCCCCACTTGCACTCTGTCTTCCTCTCTCTCAAAAATGAATAAACATTAAAATGAATTTGAAAAGAAAGACAAATAAAAATCCTTATGACAATGTTTTTGCTTTACAAAGACTTTTTTTCTTTAAAAAAAGTTCATTGTATAACACATGCCTTGCCTGTGGATTCCTTAAGGAAAGAAACAATGCATTTTATCTAGCTAACATGAGGTACTAGCTCAGTCACTGTCATATATCTCAAATGAATACATAAATATTTTTAAATCATTTCTTTAAAACTTGATTATATAAATGAAGTTGTAAACATTTTTTTGGTAATAAGTATGTCCTGTATCAAAGCCATATGCATTGAAATCAGTGGAATGTTTTTAAAGAGGCGTTAATGTTTTTAAAGATGTAACTAGAAGTTCTTCTGTCTCTGCCACTTTCTCAGATAGTCATTCTAACTCCATACATTAAAAAAAAATCTACTTATCCAGTCATCTTGTTCTTTCATTTTTTCCACCCAGCTGATCAAGCAGTCATTCATTGTGTAAATACCTGCCTGTGTACTGGTATTATGACAGTGTGCAATATAGATAGGGCCATGCTCTCATGGAAGGAAAAGAGGATTAAGCCCATCTTGTAAAATGTGATAGAAAAAATACAACTCTAGTACTTCTTACAATAGGGGCTTTTGGACCTTTAGGCAGGGAAGAAAGACCTAGAACATCATGGGGGAGGAAATGAAAATTA